TTTCTTCACGGTTTTTCTTAAGGACGGCAGTGCAGCCCATTTTAGATTGTATCACCATTAGTATTGGATTTAGCACGATGACGACAGAGGATACCAAGTAACCGATCACTGGTGATTGTATTTGAGTCCGAGCCTGCTTACGATGGTCAACCAGAAGGCATATTTGTAGGACAATTTCACAATGAAGACACGGAAGTTCATGCTTGGTCAAAAGTTGGAGTAGGCCACTACCGTTGGCTTCAAGGGCCGATAAACCACTTATCTCTTGAACAACAGTTGGAGTTCATAGCAGACGTTATGCGACAGATCTTCATTTTCTTGCGTTGGTACTGATTGACAACATTGCTTCTCAGAGACCTCGAAGCTAAAAGAGGGGGTGATGTTAAGGACATAGTCTTTAGAACCTTCTAGAGACAAGTTTCTAGAACCATCTAGAAACAAGTTTCTAGAACCTTCTAGAGACAAGTTTCTAGAACCTTCCAGAGACAAGTTTCTAGAACCTTCTAAAGACAAGTTTTTAGAACCTTCTAGAAGCAAGTCTCTGGAACCTTCTAGAAGCTTCTTAGTTGGTAGAAGATGTTAGGGACATAGTCTTTAGAACCTTCTAGAGATAAGTTTCTAGAATCTTCTAGAAGCAAGTCTCTGGAACCTTCTAGAAGCTTCCTAGTTGGTAGAAGTTGCTTGAGAAGCTTCCTAAATAGGAGTATATATTGGGATCGAGGCTGAAGAGTTCTTCAATCTTGACAACACATCTCTTGGAGCTCTAGCTCACCTCTCTAATGTTGTTCTTGTATTCATCTGATTAATCTAGTTCTTGCCAATTCTTCTCGAACTTCTTGGTAGATATCAAGTCTGTATTCTGTATCCGTGACACAAAGCCAAGTCTAAGAACTTTTCAATCTACTAGATTTTGAACCAAAGTATGAGAGTTTGGACCTTAGACATACTAAACAATAACTCTATGTTTTCGTTTTGTAATCATACATATTATTAACTGAAATAGTTTTATTGACCAATTAATTATTCAATCAATATAATATTCAAGCATAATAATTAATATAATTTTTTTAAAAAAGAGAAATTTAACCTTTCCTTTGTATACATAAAAGCTTAAAAATGCTATATATTAAAAAAAAAATTAGAATTTTTGTTTCTTTTTTTGTAATATACTATTCATTGCAAGAAAATTCCTTATTTTTTGAAAAAAATATGAAAAATAATATTTTTATTTTTTCAACATCTTTTTTAAATTAAAAAATCAATGTAGTACTTTTAACTTTTAAAAAAACATAATATTCATAAAATAAATTACAATGCATATGCATAAAGATATAGAATTATAGTAAAATATTTTATATATTATTTCTTTTAGTTCTTAGCTTTAAAATCTAATAATTATGTCATAAACTTGGATATATAAAAAAATTTGAAGCTTTTTTTAATATAACATGTAAAATTTAAAAGTTAGAATTATTTGAAATAGATTCAAATTTTGACTTTGAAAAACTTGGATGGTAAGACATGGAAGAAATTTTGGTGACAATTTTTGTAAGCAAGCTATGGCTAGCTTATGCAAACAACAAATAAAAACTAAGATAAAAAATCTTAGATTTAAAATTCCTATAAACAGAAAATAATTTAGCTAATATAAATTTATATATATATATATATATATATATATATATATATATAATCCTATTTAGTTTCTATGTATTTTATGAATTCTTTTAAATTAGTATTTTATGATGTGTATGCATGAATTTGTACAAATATACAAGTGACATTTACAAGTAACTTTATCTTCTCTTCTTCAATAGATAAATATTAAACAAGTTTTTTAAAATAATAAAATTTAACTTCAATTCATAGTCTTTACAATTAAACTATTCTTCCTTCCAATGGTAAAATTTATTTTTTATTTTTTATAATTAATTTATAATTATAGAAAATTTTGAATTTTTTTTAGATTTTTTCCTAATAATTAATATTTTGGAAACTAAAGTGTTTCTGTACCTCATGTTAGAATTTGTTTTTCTTTTATTTTTATTTTTATTTTTATTTTTTAAAATTTTTGTAATATATTTTCAAAATTTGATATTTTCTGGATAAAAAATCAAAATTTTAAATACAATTTTTTTACTTTAAAAAAATATACATGTGAAAAATTATTTTTGATATAAATATATTATTTAAAGTTTATAAACAACCAATATTTTTATACTTCTAAAAGTAAAACTTTCATGCATTAGTCTGAAAACAGTTACTTTTGTTTAAAAAATTATTTATTTTAAATTCTATTTCGTCTACAACTTTTAATAAGGATTTTTCATTATCAAATCTTATTACTTTAATAAGAGACATTTCTTCTACTTGATTTATCTGTTTAAAAGCAATATAAAATTTAAATTACAATAAAAGAATAAAAATATTATCCAATTATTAACAAGTTTTGCTTATTGGACTGAAATAATAAAGAAGACTTTAACGTAAAACTTAAGAATTTCATGTTATATATATATATATATATTATAAAAACTATAAGAATTTCTAAAATTTATCTACATAAACTATTCATGCAAAAGATTAAAATAAAACAATCAAACAGTCATAGGTGTTGATAAAAGATTAGAAATCACTACGAATGACAATGATTTAGAACCTTTAAATCACATGAATTTTTGAAAATGCCAATCTTGTGAAGGACATAAATTCCTTACATCTTATTTTAGTGAAACAAGTGATGATTTTGTTGAGATTTGTGCAATTATCAGATAACAATAGCGTATAACACTCAGTTCCACACCAAGGTAAGTTTTTTTTTAAAGATTCTTGACTAGCAGCAAGAGTTTGCTCGAATCAAAAAAAATATCTTGTAAATTATTTTTTTAGTATCTCTGCAAATTAAAACCGGCCAAATTTTCCAATAGTAACCAGGAATATGTTATTTCTATTTATGGATCTACCGATCACCATGAGGACAGTACAGTCTAGCTACTTATGTCGATCAAAATTGAAAACTGTAAGGAACCCATGAGCTAATTTACACAAAATTAAATTAAAAGAAAATTATAGAAACATAAATTGAATAAAAAATAAATTGGTGTGCCTTCATGACTTCAGGTACCTTGCTTATGCTTTTATGACTTCACATTAAGAACCATTTAATACTAAAGAATCTCCATCCCATGGCCCTTAGAATATTATTCCCTCAACATAAACTTTTCATTTTGCTATATGGTGCTCGCCACTTTTTGTAGTAACTGACATGACACCAGAATCATGCAGTGTTTTCAATGGGGGCTCAGCAAATGTCGCTACGAAATATCGGACTCTGTGTAGACATGCCCAGGCTATGGCTGCTGAAAGGAAGAAAAGCTGCTCCATTGTGATTTCTAAAATAACGTGTGTCTCTCTGTGTGCGAGTGTGTGGGTTTTACGTGTTGGTCAAAGAAAAGCAGTCTCGAGAACGGCATTCTGCATTGTCCAGTGTAGGGCTGGCAGGACTTCGACTGTTTTTGTGCTTAGTTATCTGCCTATTTGTTGTACCAGGTGGAGCTCAGGCTGTGCACTGTGAACATAAATGCGTTGCCCCTGTCTGAATATTCACCTCTGAGGCTGTTTCCCCACCTTGCCATCTCCCTTTCAGCTTCTCTAGCGACCTTCTTTGGCTCTGCATACTGATGGTGTTTGTGCTGTGTCTCAGCGGTGGTATGCTTGCAATTCGTCCTAGGTTCGTCGAGTTTCTGAAATTCTACATCTCTTAGCACTACGCGGGGTAAGGTGAAGTGACTGCAATCGCTAGATGGCAAACAATTAGCTGCCTCCGACTGGGTCCTCCTCCCTTTCAGCATCCTTCCCAAAACTCAGGCCCTTGCTGTGGATCGATGCTCTTGCTTCGCGTTTAGGCAGCAGAACGTGAAGCTCCCCCTCTTTGTCGTTTCTTAACCCAAGTGGTCGTCTGGTATATCCTTCGTAGTGTATGACAGGGGCGACACAATTCTGTCCAGAATTGACCCTTCAGCAGTGCCTCTGAGTGGAGAACTCGATCGATGGCGACCCAGAGATATGCATCACTGACTTCGTGCAGGGCAAGGCCGTGTGAAAGGCAACCCTGAATCAACCGCCACTAACAAAATTCTTGGTTCTGTCCTCTTGGAAATAATCTTCTCAACGTCCTTAGGTCCGCTACTGGAACTCACGATGATTTCGGGGAAGAGGATTGGAAAGCTGGTGAAGAAGTTTATGAGAGGAGTGCCAGAGTATGGCAGCCCGTGGGCAAATACCCGAAGTCTGAAACGTTGGTGGTCAGGAAACTTCTCAATTTCATCCCGCTCCTGGAGTCACCGGTCGGGGGAGAGCCGTTCAAGCAGCGGCTCCGACTCAGACGACTGGAACAACGATGCACCAGCAGGCATTCCCCAGGGATGCTTCGCGGTCTACGTCGGCCCAGAGATGCGACGCTTTGTCATCCATACCACCTTCCTACACAAGCAAGTCTTCCGAGACCTACTTAAGAAAACTGAGGAGGAATACGGATTTGAATCTGAAGGCGGCTTGCGGATCGCATGCGAGGCAGCGGTCTTTGAGGAGCTGCTGTGGCAGTCCTAGAGCAACGATCACTTCCAACACAGAAATCAAAGGTTATGTACAGCCCTCCTGCGGTGCATCGCACTACTTCTGATCTTCACAGATCATAAATGCCTAGCGAGCGCATCGATACACCAGCACTCGCTGCAGGAATCAGTACTAGTGATATACTTCACGGTCCCCAAGTTCCGAGGATAACGATGCCGTGAATCTCATGGTACGAACCGATTCATATGCGCGATCGGCATCGGATCCTAGTGTCCGATATAGATTCGGCGCTTTACCGACACCGGCGCTGGCGACAAAGACCGATCTAGATATTTCGCAGCACAGCAATCTTTATGTGACAAAGCATATAAGCTAGATTATGGACTCAGAATGACTTTCTGTTTTCTGTTTGCATTACATGTTGAGGCAAACTCGGTTCGGTCTCTGAGATTGTGAGTGTTGTACTTAAGAGGACTATATTTTTATAAAACTACTTGAGTTACCCAATTGACTGATTTGGAGTAGTATCAATTTTAAGACGCAAACCCAACTATGTTTAATTATTGGAATGTTGTGCAATTTTCGTTTTGTATGTTGTCAGTGCTTGAATAGTTGGGATAGGAATGTGTGAGTTGGAAAGTTAATGGGGAGGGGGGCAATAAATAGTGGTGTGTGAGTGTGGTTAGAAGTACAAAATTTGCTTGAAATTCCACACCTTTCATGTTTTGGAATGTGTTGTTTGTTATTTTAGATCATTTTTATTGATGACAATGGTCCAAATTTAACTTTATGAAAATGTAAAAAGACAAAGAAAAGTGGCTGAAAATGTTCTTAAACTACTAAAAGATGACACAATCTTTGGTGGTTCAAATTTCAACCTTATAACCTTTGACTTTTCTTGATGGATGCAATCACTAAGATAATGATCCATTTTAACGTTAAATAACCAAACAAACAAACAAACAAACAAATTGTGTATGTACTATTTTATTTTATTTTATTTTCAAATAAGGCCTTTAATTTTATAATACATTTGATTATTTGTGCATTTGGTCGAAAAATAGTTTAAAAAGTGGTACTAAAAGAAATTCTAATTAATTTAAATAACTGTATCACAAAAGATTATTACAAGGTAGACTAAAAGATTTAGTAAATTAAGGAATCATTCAAAAATGACAATTCAGATATTGAAGAGCTTTTAAATGAGGAACATTTTTTGAAATTTAAAATGCATTGTAAATCTACTAAGATACACTTTCTTATAATTTTTTACAAAAAATCAGTGAATTTAGAATAATCAATAAAGTAATAAAACATTGAATACAAATTACTTTTATTTTTTATATTTTTTTATTCATATTTTGAAATAATTTGCTTTATTGATTTTTGAATTTTGGATTATAAGTCATTGAGGTCTAGAATGTATTTAGAATAAAAAAAATTGATAGGATATAATCTTCAAAAATATCAATTTCTTCTTGAAGTCCTCTTCCTTACAAGGTTTTATGTATTTGAGCACAACTATCCAAGTATGTTTCATTTTTCTGGTATAATTCTTATGAACTAATTTACATACATAAATTAGTTTTAAATAACTAAAAATGGTAACAATCGTTTCTTTTTATATAAAAATATTTTTAAATGAAAAGTTTAAAATTAGAATTTATGAATTAATTATCTATAATATGGTAATGCTTTGATAAATTATAGTCTTGTATGTGTGTATATATATAGAGAGAAGAAGAGAGAGGAAGAGAGAGATAACAATCCTACTGAGTTGAGATTTTGAAATCAAGCAGTATTGCTGTTTTAGATGTAATAACAATTACTAGACAATTATAGAATTTAAAATTTTATTGCTACAAAAAACCAACTTATTTGTTCTAACAATGAAAAGCATCAAAATGAAGAGCTCTAAGATTAAATCAATATATTTAAAATTTTTGATGCAAAAAAATTATATATTAAAGTATTTTTTGTGAAAAATTCAATTTTGAAAAGTTTAAATGTTAAAACATATTATTTTTCAAATCAGTTTTGTTTTAGCTAATATATTTTTTTATTTTCTCATTTTTAAAAAAAATTAAATTATATTATATTATCATATTATCATTATTTATTTTATACTTAAAAATTTTTAATTATTTTTTTGAAGTTCAAGATTTTTTACTCTCATTTTTCAAGAATTTCAATAACTTTAACTATGAAAAATATTATTTTTATATTAGTGACTAACCACTTTAATTTTTTCTTCATATTTTATTAGAGCCTCATTGAAATTTATGAACACAAAAAGTTATATATCATGTAAAGTGTATTTTGCATCATCTTATTTTTAATACATTAAATTTCAATACAAAGACAAACAACCAATCAATAATAAAACATATGTATGAACAAATAAGAAGACAAACGAACAAAAAGAAAAACAAACAAATGAAAAGACAAATAAACAAGAAGACAAACAAATGATCCCTCCAATTTGGATCTTCATATAACAACGCTCGTGGAATGAGACAAAATTGGAGGCATTTGAGACAATGCTCGGAAGAAAACTCAACTAGTATTTTGTGAAAAATCCAATTTTAAAAATAATATTATATGATTTTAAAACTCATTGCTTACAATAATCTACACATATTCTTACACAACAATTTGAATAACAATGATATGAATTGATCCACCATTAGAAGAAGGAATTATCTTACTAGAACAACATAATCATATATTAAACAACACGTAGTTTACTACAATGGAGGAAGAATTCTACAACCAAACACAACACATGCATGCATGCACATAGAAACATCTTTTTATTCACATTAAACATTTTAATAATAAAAATAACAATATTTTGTAAGTAAAAAATCAAATATAGATTATAAAAAGTGAGCAATTTCTTTAAACAATAAATGTACACAACACATGAGGAATTTTGAGAGAGTATATGTCAAGTAGGATGCTTGTTTGTAAAGAAGAATGGAATTGATGGAAGCAATGTGGAAAAGAAGAGTAGAATAGAGGCATTAGTGATGGAAATGTGAAGGAGTTCAATAGCGTTGGAAAGAAGGTTGGCAAAATAGAAGTAGGGGGTAGAAGGAGATGCTTGGGATATGCTACAAGGAGGGATTAAACCTCCAACCTTATAGTTAACAACCACACACTTCAACCATTTGAGTTAAAATGTGCCAAAATGGCTTGTATTGAAAGTAAATAAATCTTATAATAGATTAAAAAAATCCACATTGGCATACAAAGTGTGCCATGTAAAGGATTCTTAGTTTGAAGCCTTTATATCCTATTACACAATTAGTCAAGTATTGTCTAGGTTTTTACTTTGTTGGATCCGAGTATCTGAGCTTCTAAAAGGTGTTGTCCTATCTTATTAGATTTAGATATCTAAATTCATATTGGGTATTTTTTTGATTCATGTTTGATAACTAGTTGCTTGTTTTTGGAAGTTTGAGTCTCTTTCGGCTAACTACAATATATCATTTGTATGTATTGGCATGTACTTAGGACTTTTGTTTGGCTTGTCTTATGAGGATTGATCTTTCTCTGAGTATTTGATATCACCTATAATTTGTGCTAGGATATCCTTTGTTATTATGTATACAAATTTTTCTCTCATGTCTTTGGCTCGTGATAAAGAGTTAGAGCATGGTTGGGCCTCCAAATATTTGATAGACTGTGCAAGTTTGTTTTATATTTTGTTAAGGTGAGGCTTTGTTTCGTGGTTCTTATTGTGATTGTGTCCAGTTTGCAGTGGATGTCAAGATGGTTTGTAGTGGATTCGTTAGGTCTCTAGGAACGAAGTTAAAATGGGTGATCAATTTTTATTTGGAAGAGTGTATTGTCTTACTAAATATATTTCCCTGCACCTATATTATTGTAAATTTGGATTCTATTTTGCTGTGGCACTCGGATGAGTGGCAATGCTTATATTTTTGTAGCTCTGTCTATGCGCCCATGGCTATTTAGACTGTACTCTACCATACTCAATATAATGTCATCTTAAGGTAGAATTGCCTTTTTTTGAGGTCATGTTTGTAATTTTGGCATCATATGTATCAAATGATGGCATATCACAAGATGTCTCATAGTGTTTCTTGGTAATGGAATACAAGCTATCCATGTCCCAAAATGTAGAGTTGTCCTATGCATTTATGTTGTTGGTTAGTAAGATTGAAAAGGTGCCATGGAGTGTGGCCTCCCATGTGATGTTGGAGGTGATCAGATCCGAGAATCTCTTAATAGTTGCATATTTTTTTCAAGCTAGTGCAATATGTGGACAAGAAAAAAATGTGTGTCTATTATCTTTGGAATTTAGCTGGCATAGAGGTTGTATTAGTTGTCTTACTATATTTTGGGCCTCTATTCTTTAATAAAAAGGCCCTCTATAATTAAGAGCCATACCATGGCAGGGATCTTGTAGGAGAGCTATAGATGCCATATTATAATAAAATATTATATTTTTTGGACTAGAGAGTAGCTGTGGCTTGCCATGGTTCTATTGAATTCCGTCTACCTATATTGCTACATTAGGATGATTTTATATCTTTTCTTTGTGGTTTAGTTGAACAATTTTTTAGTCAACATTAAGCCTTATTTGCACCATGTCTATTCTTTTGGGTTAATTTTGAGTCCTTTTATCAAGCCATCTCACTGCATCTATATTATGCAAGTCCAATCCAGGGAGTCAATTAGATTGAATTCCATTACCTTCTCCAATTGATTTCTTATGAAAATTTTTACTTCCTCTATTGCATCTACAAGTATTATCATGTAGTTATCAATCCTATCAAATTGGTTTATTTTGCTTACTCTTGTATATTGAGAGTCCTTCCACCTTTTAGGTTTTCTTTTTGTTATGTGATAGACTGATGTCTCGGGGCCTGACATTACCTATTCTCCTTCAATCGAGGAGTTAGGTTGTGTGAGGTTCCATTTTACTACTTCATATATAATTTATATGAACATTTTGATCTTCTCAAATCTTATGTTATATCTCAATGCTTGATTGATGTGCTAGTTGTATCAATGGTTGTTCTAAATGTCTTCCACCATGTTGACTCCGTTAATGGATCATGTATAAAACCTTAAGTTGGCCTTTATTTTCAGATTGAAGTTATCATTTGTGGTAATTTTAAAATTCAAAAACAGAGACTAACACATCTTTTTGGTGTATATGTTGGGAAGTACTTTGATAAGTTTCTTTTTGATCATCGTCCATGCAATCCATATTGCTTACCAAAGGCTTGAGCCTTGTGGCCACATTTTGGAGGTCATGAATATCGAGCTTGTGTCAAGGACAAGAACTCGATGAAAGCTAAAGAGTAAGTGAGACTTTTCTCAAAGAAATAGGACAAAATAGAAATATGTATATTAAGAAAGAAATTGGAATGGCTATTGCCGAAATACAAGAAAAATAGAGACCCTTGAAACTAGACTAGAAGCAAGAAAGGAGTTGACAAGAGTGAAGAGGGCTTCACTCTTGCCTCT